CTTTCTTTCTTTCTGCCTTTCTTTCTTTCTGCCTTTCTTTCTTTCTGCCTTTCTTTCTTTCTGCCTTTCTTTCTTTCTGCCTTTCTTTCTTTCTGTCTTTCTCAGTATATATATTTATTTATTATTACTCTGTTTTATGCTGGGGTAACAAAGCTGAGGTGCCAGAAGGGAGTGTTTCCCCACACCCAGGCTTGGGAAAGCCCTGAGAGTAAACACTCACTAACTGACATCTGAAAAAATATTGCAGATTGCCCAACCTGAGAGGCTGTCCCAGCAAGTTCAGAATCAGGACTGATTTTCCCCAAGCATCAAGGGGGCCAAGCTAGAGCTGCCAGAGAAAGATTCTGCAGCAGCAGCTCCTCTGACACCTACACATGCTGGGCACTACTATGAGTGTTCTCTGCTGTCACAGCTACTTACATGAGTGTAACAGATGTCAGTGATTTTTCTTGATCTGCTGTCCAGAGGCGCCAGGCTCAAGCCAACTCTCACAAAATTCTGTGGGCATTCTGCTATAGGCGGAGCCCTGCTCCCGTTTCTTGCTACAGTGGGGGATAGTTGTGCTTAATTTGGGTCTGTTATTGCATTCTTCAGTAATTTTTGCCAAGCACAGAAAACAGAGAGTGAGTGGGTGTTATTCCCTGCAAGAAGATTGTGGATTTGAGACACAAAAGAACCTTAATTGTTTTCCCAGTTTACTCTTATGACATTTAAATGCAGAAACAGAACTAGTCCTACACATTATTTACTCCTTTTTTCTCTCTTTGTAGACTTGAATGTGAAGCACATCAGAATTATGAAAGCAGAGCAGCAATAGCAGAAACAGTCATAGAAGAAAAGTGAAGGTTACCAATACCCCAGGACAAAGTATTAGTTCTCTAAATCTGTTGTACTTTCTGCACTGGTAAAATGACACAGTTTGTTTGTACAAATAAAGTATTTTGTGTGTCATCACATCTGATTTTTATTACTACACTTGCTATGATGGTCTGAAAGTTGTTAATAAACAAACTCCTTGTAAATTGCTGTGTTGTCTGACTTAAGTTACTAAGTCAGCAAGATCGTGGAGCTGTTCTTTTCAGCTTTTTGGTATGTCCACTAACGGGATTTTCTTCATGCTTCTCTGGAATACTGCGCCAGTCATTCCTGGATCAGTAAACGTAGAAACATTTGTAGAGGAGGCACTCTGAGATAACTGTTTCCTGATTTATTCTGCATATCTGAACAGCCAGTGAAGGAACAAACTGAGCTCATTGATGGAAATTACCCTTGATAGAAATTCTCTGTAGTCAAGATAATTAGCAGTTATGAGGTAGGTGTTTCTTTTAATTATACTCTTTTGGGAATGGTTTTTACAAGTTAGTATCATAAACTACCCACCAGCTTCTCTCCAAAGGGCAGCTGAGGAATAGTCCTTGGCTTTTTTTGTAAGTAAAAATAAACAACTACCTTCCTTCTGCAATTGAAAACATGAAGCAGAAAAATTTGTATCTGGATTTAGAGCTTGACAAAATAGCAGACGACAGAGATAAAACAAGAGGACAGACATGAGATAAAAGGATGTTATAAATAATACTTTATAGAAATGTTAGCTGTAACATGGGTGTGAAATATGTCATGGAGGAGTGTAGTGACTGTCAGGACTCTAGTCAGAACAGAAACATGATAAGTGTAGACACTTTTAGAAAAACTAACTTGGTAACAGTCTGCCAGCATTTTCTTGTGAGCAATTTTGAGGTTTGTTTAAACTTTGTACCTGGATCCTAATTATAGTACACGTCATGGGCTCCACCTCAGTCTGAATATGGGGTAGTTTTAGATTTTACTCAGTGGCACATTCTCTTTGTACAAAAACTCTTTTGTTTGAGGTGGGAAGATGACTCCAGGGATTTCAGTAAAGTACTTATCAGTATAGGAAGTGAGACATCACTGCAGGTGACTCAGAAGCTGCCTTAATGAATAGATTGATAAACCCTTGATTAGTCAGAGCTTGGAAATGACACACAGAAAAGCTCATTGATGGCCTGAATGAGAAATCTCTTTCAGCTAAATACTGGTCTCCTGCCGTTGAAAGGAGATGAGTTAGCTGTTAGGGAATGCTAAGAAATACTTTTTATTCATTAGTTAATTAACTTTAGTCTAATTCAATATGAGCCACTTCAAGAAGTTGTGGAATATGGGATAGATGATGAAAAGGGGAAAGAAATAGATTAATTACTTTCTGCCTGGCAGGTGAAGCTGATAATCTACTGTCTGTGACTTGCCACCTTTCATTATTTAAAACTATTCACTTGGGTATTTCTGGTGTTTGGCTTGTGGATGCTGTGGGAACTGAAAATCCTGATGAATAAAGAATAGCTCTCTAACCCTGAGAAAATGTGCAGATATGGTACTTCCAAAGGGGCAAAACATTTCCTCTGCCGTGGGTCCCAGTAAGATTGCTTCCAAATAGTCAGGTCTTCGCAATGTAAACGTGTTGTTTACTAATTTACAAAGCATAAGAGGTTTGCTTGGAAGTCAAAAAAAACCAAACAAACAGTTTTTATTACACATTGGGGATTTCTTCCTGTTTGTATTTGATACTCACACTGCATGTTTTGGCCTTTGACTCAGGAACTCTCTGGTGGAAAAAAAGGAGGGAAATTTTTATCTAAGTATGTCCTTGTTTTCAGACAATGCCTCCTTCAGAGGTTCCTTCCTAAGCTCAAAGACTCTGTGATTCTGCTCATTGCAATTATGATGCAGTGGCATTGCCTTCACTGCAGCTCTGGAGTGGAGAAAGGACACAAATTTTGGGTTGACTTTTAAAGAAGGAAGGTAGTAAAAAATGCCAATTAAGCTGTTTTTGAATGTGTTCCATTTAAGCATTGCTGTACTGCCATTAGTCCAGAAATTACAACTGTAACAGTATGGTTTTGAGAGCCATGTATATTATTACAGAAGACTTCCAAATAGACAGCTTTTAATTAAATTTGTATACAAGGATAGCTTTATAGCTCTCAGGCAGAACACAAGACCTCCCAGTCTTACATACATTATGCTAGCAATTGTGTCAACAACCTCCAGCTGTAGCATTCCTGTATGGCGGAAGTCCTCACCTGAGTTAGAGGGATAAGGCACTGCTACAGAAGCTGATGCTATTTAGTGCTTGTTTCTGACTGCTGCCTTCCTCTTCCCCTGCAGGATATTGTAGTCAGGCAACTATAAAGTAGGCTGTCTGTAGGCACAGCTCCTGGGGATACAGTTAGTGCTAGTTCTGATGGTGGTCTAAGCCACTTTCAATAATTTGATGCCTGCCCTGCAAAGCAGCCCGATACTGTGTGGACTCTTCTTTCCTGCAACTATGGAAGATTCAGTGGAATGAAAGGTACTTTTATAACTATATTTTTTAAAAATAGGAGATGGGGACTATTAGTGTCTGTTTACCAGGAAATGGCTAAATATTGCAGCTTACTGTTTTAAGCAAGGCAGCTTGATTTTGCTCTTGCTTGGTGTCTTCTTCAACCTCTCAATTCAGTTATGATTCCACTGGATACCTCTGTGGGTGGAAGAAAACAGGCATACTGAGAAGAGTTTGTGCGTTCTTCTGTTTCTTCTTTTCAAATACATGATAAAGGTGCATAAGCAGTTTAAAGCCTAGGTTTTGGACTCAGAGCAGGAAGCAGGGCATGGTCAGGCTCTTAAAAAAAAGACACTGCTTTCACCAAAACTATAAAAACTACAAAGCTTTTGCTATTGGTCATAGAACTGCTTTTCAGCATTCAATACAAGAGTTCTACATTGTTAGATGCTATTATTTTGAAGGGGGAGAAATAGTATCATTCAAGGAGAGCAGGTCTTAACAGATGTCTTACTAATAATTCTCTTGCCTCAGATGAAGGGCTTGGACCAGTGACCTCTAGAGATCCTTTCTAATTTAAATTCTGTGAAATAAATAAGCTTAAGACTTATACAACACACAGGTCAGTTGAAAGTCAGATCACCATATCACACTCAATGATAAAAGAAACTAACAGAACAAGCACAAACAATTTCTAGTCTTGAGGGAAGAATCCTTCAGAAGTCCAGAACTTGCAAGTATAAAACATTTCATATGTGAATGCAGTAAGTTTAAACTGCAGTAAACACTTTTTAGATACCTTTAATAATTTGGCAGAAGTTAGAATCTGCAACATTGGCCCCCATTGATACATACTCTTTTTTCCTTCTTTTATGAACAGTGCAGATAAATTAGTACAGCCTGTCTGCACTCCACGGTGAGGAAGAAAGCATCTTCCATTTAGGAATAAAGCTCTGCTATCAGTAACCAAATAACTCAAATTGCAGGCCAGCAGGAACAAAGAGCAGTTATGTAATCTAAAGCAAGGGTGTTTTGAGTTCTCCAAGTGATGGCACAAAGGCTGTAGGCTGAAGCAGAGGCACCGATAAGTATGTGCAGATCCTCATTGGCCTTGAGAAAACGGCAGGGATTTAGTGAACAGCTAAGGATCTCTGGTCATAACCTCACAGTCATGAAGAGGGGAAGTGAACTCGGCTGTGAAGGAGCTACATTCCTTTCCTATTAAGTCAGTGTCACTCATTCCTGTGAGATTTTTACAAGGTTGTTAGATTAAATTCCATGGAAAAGAATAAACCTGAACTGCTCCAGACAGGAGCTCTACATTACCCTTAACACAGGCAAAGGTGATGCTGATTTGGGAATAATTCTTCTGACATCTAATCTTTAAGAATGGTAGCATAACAAATGAGACAAGATCTTCTACATACCTTTAAGAAAAAAATATTTATTTATAAAAATACACTGGGATCAGTTTGAGAAGTGTGGCAATAAATACAGTTCAAGGAAGAAAAAAGCATTTCTACATGGATATATTATGGCACAATAAAAGGTAAATGCACCATCAATCATGAGACTTTTGTTGGCTCAAGACTTTGTACAAGCTCCCTTTTTAGTAAGACAACTATTTCTAAGTTTGGTCAGTGTTGATAATGGAATGAATACACAATCACAAATGTACGCTTATGTCTAATGCAGGACTTACCATTAGCAAACAATACCTTAGAAACATAGCAATGATATTTAAATCACTAATGGGATATCTTAAACTTAATTGGCAAAGACCACATGTAACTTTAAGCATGAAATTCTTTTATCTCCTCTGGAAAACAGAAAAGCTGTAAATATGTAAAATGAAGGCTTAACATGGTATGTAAATACCTACTTATGTAGAGACTGTGAGAATGCATAGCTCCTTATTAAACAACCTGGGTGTACGAGAGCACTCCCCCTTTCACAGTATTCCTTTTACTTCATATGCAGTTATTGTTTATGCTGTAGACTACAACTGTTACAGCACTAAAGGCAACTAGACAGGGAAAGGGCAGAGAAAGGAAAAAGGAATGTATGTAAGGCAGTATTTCTTTAGGTACATTAAGCGTAGTGTGTAGTAAAGACAAGTAACAATTCCACAAGGCTAGTTTCGTTCTTACTGAATAAAATAATGGACTAATACTGAACTTCTGATGCAAAGCTAATAATCAATGCCCTGGTCACTGTACTGGCCATGGTAATCTCTTTGATAGTCATCTTGGTACTCTCCGTGATAGTCATCTGGGTATTCTGCCTGATAATCACTATCGCTGATTTCTGACCCATTAGTTCCTGTTCCTTGGCTGCCGTTGTGAATGACGGGTTCTGTTGGTGCAGCACAGTACTTGGGGTCATACACTTGCCGTCCAAGCCCATACACACTCATTCCCTTCTGTGAAGCTACTTTGTTGGTACCCATTTGTAATGAAATAGTTGAGTTATCCACAGGTTGCAATATGTGCTTCTGATCGTAGATGTCTCTCCTGGTACCTGGTGCCAGCATACCAGCCTAATAAAACAGGATTGTAGAGGTTCAGTAAGAAGGTCAAGAGCTGTGATTACTAGATTTACGATTTTAACTAGTACACCTTACTGTAAGTGCTAGAAAGTAGGAAGTGAAGTATAACAAAACAGCACAGCAGCATGCGCTCACTAGTAGCTAACTCACAGAAAAAAAGTCCTTGCAGAAAGCTTCAACTTATGTTCCTCTTTGGAAAGAATATACTAAGTACTGTGACTAAAGCAGTGCCTGGAAGCAGTTTCTTCTTTGCTTCTCTCTAGTTAGTAACTTGAAATGAAGTTACTGTTTTCTTCTGGTACAACACTGCCAGCCGGAAATTCTAGAAACACCAAGTCATTTTTATGCCTGAAGACATTCAGTACAGAACACACTGGTTAATGATAAGAAATTCAAGTTCTTCAATTACTGCATAAAAGCACAGCTGAACTGTACCCACTTGCTGCTGCCTGTTAGACTTTGGTGCTGTGTGCCACTCGCAGATTGTCCTGTCCCACCGGCTCTCCCTGGCTGAGAGCCGTGTCCCTCTGCAAGGGCCGCACCGTCCTGCTTACCTGACTGGCTCCTTTGTTAGTGCCCATCTGTAGGCTAATCGTCGTCTGGTCAAATGGCTTATCAGTTTGCATTTTTGGGTCATAGAGATGTCTTCTAGTTCCATAAGCAGTCATGCCTGCCTGACTGGCACACTTGTTGGTGCCCATCTTTATTGGGGGAAGGAAGTGGTGGACAGAAAAAATTATTTTTATTTGTACATTAAGCATAGTCTAAGGAAACAAATATGGCTGGTAACTGTAAAGTAATTTCAGTGCATGCTTTCCTCATGTAGCTTGACCACTACCTTAACAAATTACCCTTTCTCCTTACTGAGTTTCAAAAGGAAAAATAAAGGCAGCTGTCATCCTAAGGCATTTCAATGACTGGCATGTGCCCAACTGCATTGCAATTGGAATGGATGTATGCCTCAAAATGTAATAAGTAACTTTTACCTTCAATGGTAGTGACTCCTTTATGCTGCCACAACTTCTCTACCACAGGAATTTTATTTTGGTTTTTACAACTACTAAGGAAAGTGGAGAGAAAAAAAGTTTCTACCATACAAGGAGCTTTAGCTATCCAAAAACTCCTGCTTTAAAACCACTTTAAAAGACAGAGATGACGCTGCTAATATTAGCTGTTCATTTCCTCCTTATCACTCTTATAGCAGATTTAAAACAAACAAATTAATCTTCCAGGGAGTCACTTGAACTTATAAAGCCAATCAACTGCTTACAAGATTTAAAACCTCATTCCTCCTTCCATGACAAGAATATATTGTAATTCTGCAGCTGGTTTTGCACAAACAATGTATTGGTTAATCAAAACAAGAAAGTTGTTCTCAAATGTAACAAATTAACTGCAAATCTGAATTTCCTACTTACCTGCAGGCCAATTACACTTTGACCAGCTTTTAGTTTTCCTGCATCAAAACTTCGTGCTTGTTTCTCTGCATATTTGACACCGATATCAATTGTAGTATGAAAACCTTTAGTTTTTGCCTATTTAGGGAGATGGAAAATAGAGTATTCAGTGTTTGAAGTATGTTTTCTATTACTGGAACACTGGTTTTATGGCCCTCACCCTGGGCTCTCAAATGATGCTATAAGCAGGTCTGTCTCTACAACAGACTGTGTGTTTGGGCTGAGAGAAAGTAATATTTCCCCATGCCATTTGAAGATGGCAATCCACCTGGAGTCAGAAGGCTATTCTGCAGGGATTAGTGTTCTCCTGTGAGCCTCCCCTGTTTTGTGTATGCACATCACCTCCAGAGCAAGGCCACCTGCAATCAGGAACACTCAGTCTGAACTCCAAGCCTTCCCTGGGGCTGTGGTAGCTCACAGCCCACTGAAGTGCAACCTCTGTGCACCATCTCAGACTCTCAGTACTGTCTGTTCTCTCCTGACAGGCTGTATGCTGTTTTCTGTATTTACATTGGTTGTAAGGGTGCATCTGGACTGGCATGTGGATTTGTGCCAACTCCAGGGGTACAAATACTTACCAGACCTGCTAATGCCACTAGAGTGGTCTGTACTTGAGTCATATTTCCATTTTCAAAAAGATCATTTGCTTCAAAAATATCATGTGGCTTCATGCCGTAGATTTGGATAGCTTTGATAAAATTCCCAATGTTCTCCAGCTAAACAGAAACAAAAAAAGCCAGTTTTCTACTCAGTGTTTCAAATCAGAAACTAAGTAATTTTAAAGCTTTCTGGTGTTGGTTTGTTTGCTTGTTTTACACAAGTTCTTTGCCTTGTGCAAACTCAACAAAATAGTTGGCATGGTTAAGTGACTGGTGGGAAGTCTGGGATTATTTTTTGTTAGTCTGATTTCTGAAATCAGTATTAAAACTAAGGGGTTATCCAGCCTAGCATCTCTCCATCAGTGAGTATTATATACTTTGTTAGAGTGGGCTTTGATAAGAGAACTTGTCTCAACTGTGTGTCCCTTCCAAGAGAAATTCTAATCTAAAATCTGCCCCAAATTGGAAAATTTGACATAGCGGCCATGCTATTTGACTTCAACAACTGATACTTTTGAATAAAATAAAACCAGAACTATGTGGATAGTAAGAAGATTTAACTTGGACTGAAGGCATTATCTTGCTCACCTCCTGGGACAAATAAGCTTTGGGGTTTATAAGCACTATGCGCTGTAGAAATTGGAAAGCAATTGGAATACAAGGAGTAAGGACTGAATCTCATCTTTCCTTCTGAAGTCTTAAGAGATATTAAAATTTTTTTAAAAAAAAAGATCCTCCACCAGATTTAGAAGTGTTCAATGCCAAGGAAACAAGGAGGCTGACATAGAAGTATTAAGCAACACTCAGCAACAGCAAAGGCAGTCAACTCTAGGCAGCAACCCTTCCAAGGCTGTTCTAAATGCATGTTGCATCCTCTCCGGATGTTTTCTCAGGAGGACACTTCATACAGCGATGTCTAGGTACAAGCAAGCTGTTGACCTAACACCTTGCAGCACTGCCTGGATAAAAAACTCATTTGTGATTTAATAAAAAGTAAACAGCTTTTTTTTAATTTGGAAAAGGCCTTGCTATAGGACTCAAAGTTCCTCCATCTGACACCTCACCAAACAGCTAAAGCACTGCTGTTAAATACTCAGCTGCCACTGATGAGCCACCTCAGCCATAGCTGCAGAATCCTCAACTGTTGGATATGTATCAAATGCAAACCTGGTGCTACTAAGATGTACCATATTCACAGCAAATTTGTTAATACAGAACAAAAGAATTGTTTGGGGGTTGAAGGGGTTAGAGGTGTAGTTCTGGGTTTGGTTTTTTTTGTTTTACCTGGTGCCAATTTAGTTTTGATTGATTAATTTTCTTCACTGATCCTGGCTGCAGCTTATTTATAAGCCTGGGGAGGTGAAAAAGAGGGAAATGCTTAAACAGTAAATCTCATCCTTATACCATCTGTGCA